GACCCAGAACTATGTACTTTTGCTCCATGGGTGAAGATTGGACACAATTGCACATCAATCTGGACAACTTCTGTCAGAGACCAGATTTGAGATGAGGGGATGTCTCTGTAGCGGAGGGCTTCGGCCTCAGCGACTTCTGCCAAGAGCGCTGTGCCTAGTGACACGTCCGTGCCCTAACTTACTGACTGGCAATTAGAACCTAGGGGGGGTAACTCTAGTTGATTTTACTACTGGGGTGTAACCTATGTACAAGTGGGATATATATATGGTTACAGCGGAGACGGGTCCGCAATTGGCGGAGCCGAACGGAGCGGAGCTAATGGGGTTTAACATTAGCCGACTGAATATTACCGACAAGTCGGTTCGCGGGGTTAGCGGAAAGGCAGGCGATAACCCAGAAATGGAAAGGAGGGATAGGCCCGAAGGTGGGCTCTGCAGGGCAGGCGAGTGTATTGCCCAGCGGAGGCAGGGGTGCGCTAGCGGACGTCGGAGCTGTCCGGAAGTCTTCGGGACTCCGTACTTAGGGAGGTGTAGGTAATAAATTGAAATGAGGGGGTGGTAACCATCGAGGGGTGCCGAGAGGATTGCGGAATACGGGGGCTCCGAGGTTAGTGAGGGAGGAGTGGAGTTGGAACGGAGGGATCGGAGGGACTGGAAGTCGATGGCCGGGGATGGATATGACAACTTCTTTCTTTGCACAGAACACCTTGATGAGGTTCAGCAATTTCTGTTTCCAGATCAAATTTTGTGCCAACCATTAACTGCTGTTTGACAAGCTTTTCTTACTCCACTGAATGTCTTAGTAGGCAACTTCAATGATTCAATTTTGCATCAATTGCCAGGTCCCATATGCATGTTACTTCCTTCACGATTGCCAATGACTGGAACTGACTGTACCTTTAGCATGCTACTTCAGTTATAATTCCATTGTGGATGATGATGGCACAGTCAATGATGCTCATACTGTAGCTTCACCAGATTACCTCGCTCTCATGAAATCCACTGAAGCTCCCAACCATGAACTTCATCTCAAACCCAGAGTGGTGTGCATGTTATTGAGAAATCTATCAGTACCCAAAGGGGTCAAAAACCAATGGGTGCTCATTGTCAACTGTCACTCACGATGGATCAAAGTACGACTCCTAAATCATGGCAATTGACCCAACAGATAAATCCATGCACCACAAAAACATGGTTTCCACATATTTCAGCATGTAGAACACACACCATACACCCCAGGCTTTCCCCCCAGTCCTCTACCCACTATACAACCCACTCCCTACATACCCCTCATTTTTCCATATTTTTCCCAGCCCAATTCCGACCTCAGAGCCTGATATTGCTGCATTTCCCATGTCTCCACACTAGCATGTGACCTTCCTGGTGCCTGGCATAAAGTTCAATTATCCATATCTCAGCTTCCACTGGACCGATTTGGACGAATTTAGTATCGGCGGAAAGCTACGATTTAGGACGATTTAATGGAGCGGCAGGAGAAGGACGAGGAGTAGCGGTTTGGATTTGGTTATATTCATTTCATTCATTTTATATTACCTATATTGCTTATTATTTCCTGGTATGATACAGAGAACTTCCCCCCCTCAGAAGGGGCCTCCCAATTTGCAGTGTCCCTTTGTGTCAGGGCACACCCACCTGACCCGGCTCCACCCAGCCCCACCTGACCCAGTACCCTGCTATCCACCCCTCCTCACCTCTTCCCTCTTTTCCTTCCTCTCTCCTCATCCCTGCTTCCTCACTTTCTTCCTATTTCACTTCTTCTTTATTCTCTCTTTATTTCACACAGACGACCTTCTTTATACCAATGTACCATTGTGCAGCACACCCACAACACATCCAGTCTGGGCACCCCGGGCAACTTCCTGCTGTGCCCAGCATGCGTGCTCACACTGGATGCCCTCGGGATCTCCCATGGAGACACCTGGGTGGTTATGGCTGTGTGCAAGGGTGATGTGGCATCCGTCATGTGACCCAAGCCGCATGTACATAAAGATACCTGAAGTGGGAACCGAAGAAGTAGCCTTCTTCTCACCTTTCCACTTCAGTCTAAGTGGCCAGGGACCATAGTCCTGCATCAGGCCTGTCAGTACACACACCCGATCCACCCCCTGCCAGGCTCTCAGCCCTGGAGGCTATACCCAGGCTTCCTCAACCCTGGATGAGTCCCTGACACTTTGTCTAGAAGATCAGCCACACCAGAGCATGTCCAGAGAGCAGCCTAGGACTCCTGAAGATTGTCCAGAGTGACCAGGACTGGGTGTTTGTTTTTAGAGATTTTTGTTGAGCACCAGGACCACAGCACATTGCCACCCCCCATCACCGACCCTATCCCAGCACTAGTCCCCACATTCTTGTCAGACCCGAGTGCTCCTTGAGCCCGGTTACAACATCTCATACCATGTATCAACTTTGATTTTCAACCTCCATATGCCCAACATACAATCAGATGCAAACAATTCCCCTTACATTTGGCTTACTCCATGACTTTCAACAGTTGTCAAGGGCTTACTCTCAATCATGTTGGTCTTGACTGTCATGAGGACATGTTCATGTTTGCACATGGACAGCTATACACTGCCCTTACACACATTTGCCACCGGTCTCATGGTATGGTACTCATTCCAAACGATAAACTTGATGTCACGAATGTGGTGTATAAAAAATTACTGACTTGAATGTGTGTCTGATAACTGCTCATTTAACACCTGTAATCACAGAACAAATTGGGCTAATTTCATAAATCTTCCACTGACTCACTATGGCCAGGAACAATCAGGTGTCAGGGACTGACCTGGGGTTGAGAGCATCTGGGTGTATCATCTGGAGCTGAGGGCCTGGTAGGGTGTGATGTGGGCATGTGCAGCAACAGGCCCAATGCAGACAGGCATCCCTGGCCACTTGGGCTAAAGTGGGAAGTGTGAGAAGAAGGTTGCTTCTCAGTTCCCACTTAAGCTGTGTTTATATACATGTCATTAAGGCCACATGGGAGGTGCCACGTCATCTATGCACACAGCCACATCTGTCTGGGTATCTCTGCAAGAGATCCCAGGAGTGTCCAGTGTGCAGGAGGTCACACAGTGTGTCTGGGTCCAGGCATGTTGTGCTGCAGTCAGGTCAATGGTACATTGATACAAGGGAATTGTCTGTGTAATAAGGAAAGAAGAAAGAAGAAAGAAGAGAGAAAAGAGGAGAGAGAAAGGAAGAGAGGTAAAGGAAAAGGAGGAGGAGGTAGGGGAGGAGTGGGTAGTGGGGTACCGGGTGAGGTGGGGCCAGGTGGGGCCAGGTCAGGCAGGTGTGCCCTGACATCAGGCTGTCAGGGACCGACCCGGGGTCGAGAGCATCCGGGTATATCGCCCAGGGCTGAGGGCCCGGTAGGGTGTAGTGCGGGTGTGCATAACAACGGGCCCGAAGCAGGCAAGGGTCCCTGGCCACTTAGGCTAAAGTGGGAAGTGTGAGAAGAAGGTTACTTCTCAGTTCCCACTTAGGCTGTGTTTATGTACATGTGGTTGGAGGTCACATGGGGAGCGCCACATCATCTACATGCACAGCCGTGTCTGCCCGGGTATCTCCGTAAGAGGTCTCAGGAGCGTCCGGTGTGTAGGGCATCTGTCATGACCCGGCAATTCCCACGGTCAGGTGATCACTCCCCACACCTTCTCCCTCCTCCGCTTCGACCCTGTCAACTCCGCTACCTGCCCAACGCTGCCTGAACAAGCCCGTCACCCTTCCCCATCACTGCTACCTGTTCCACAGCCCGTCACAGGCCTATGAGTCATTCCTTATCATGCTTGTTTTTCTTGATGGCTGTGCACAGCCATCCTTCTCCCACTCTTTGTTTGTTTTTGTTCCTTCTTAAGCCTGCCTGCAATCTCCGTGAGATCTGGCAACTTATTTCTATTCATTCCGTCACACTTAAATACCGGTTGTATACTACCTTGTACTTTAGTTCGAAAATCAACTAGGGTTACCCCCTGCACTCTCTGTCTGACTCAGTCGCACCCTCTGCCCTCTGAAATATCGGGGCCGCATCAAGTACAAGGCGCAACGCTCACGAACGAGTTGTTGAAGCCGAAACCCTGTTTCGCCATGATTGTCATCCCCACCCTTAACGGGCTGTTACGCCGGAGCAGCGGACCTTAACAGTCGCCGACGGCGAGTCACAGTAACGTTTTCCCACGCCCTGACAGCGTCACCCGGTGTGTCCGGGTCCGGGCATATTGCACAGCCTGGTTAATGGTACATCGAGCAAGGAAGTCATCCATGTAGTAGAAAAGGAAAGAAGGAAAGAAAGGAAAGAAGAAGGAAGAAGAAGGGAAAGGAAGAAGGAGAGAAGGGAGGAGGGAGGATGGGGGCACCGGGTGAGGGTAGTGGGATTGGGTGGGGTCGGACCAGGTGGAGTGGGGTCAGGCGGGTGTGCCCTGACACAGGCCTATGCCAACTTGAAGTTTAGTGACTTTAGTCATCAGTTTCTGCTCTCTATCACTCATTTTTTCCTCAGCACGTATCTGATGACCTTTCATTTATGGTACAACTGAAGTTTAGTGACATCACTCATCATTCTTCTCTCTCTATCACTCATTTTTTCATACTGTCTTCTCAACACCATGAATCTGATGATGTTTCATTTATGGTACCACCCCCTGGATTTCCAATAACATGCAAAATTGTTCATGTCTGAGTTTATTTTCAAATGGACCACCACTCATCTGCTGATCAACCATTACAATGAATCCATTTCAACTGTTTACAAATTTGAGTAATCACTTCATCTATCCTTGGTTCCTTCTCTCAATATAAACTACTTTTGTTGCAGTCCCCTATGAACATCATTTTGGATCAGACTACTTCTCATGGCATCCTCTCATCTCTCAGGGCTATTTCCCATTTGTTTGAATGTGATTCCAGATGGCACCTGCTGCTCTTTCATCTTGGGATTAGCAGGGGGTGGACCCATTGATGATCCAAACGTTCCAGAAATCACTATGTCTGTCTATGCTCAATCCCCAATGAAAGACAACACACAAGAGGACTATGTTGTAGGAGGGAAGAGCTGGTAGTACCCAGACACTATTATATCATGGCCTACAGACATTGTGTAGCACCCAACACACAGTCCCCCAGTCCCCCAAAGCCCGTTGAGCCTCCACTATCATCTTCATATTTTTTGATATTTCCAGACCAGGTGATGGCCACTCTTTCCTTATCAGGCTGCTTTCTCAGGATTTTCACCATATCTCCCCCAGTTCTTCTCTGATCCGGACGCACTTGGTATCGCTGGAAAGCTACCATCAAAACAAGTAGAACAGGTCCAAGATCGGGAGATATGGTGCAGCGGTTGTGGAGATCGTGGGAATTTATCGATTGTGTGGCCGTTCCTATATATTTTTTTATGGTTTCTGTTGTTTCCTTTGTTCTACAGCCATTTGCCTCCAAAGTTCACACGCCCCCGAAGTGCACACTTTCCTAGCACTCATCAACTGGTAGGTTAATTTGCTTCATTTTTTTTCGTAGCATGTGCTCTTGTGTGACAGGAGCTAACATATAAAGTTTTGAGCAAGCCCCATCAGTGGACACTGAAAAAATGCAAAGTTACACTGGGAAATTGCAATTTTCTCTGAATTCATAAAGCCCTCATATCATGTTGCAGATACTGATATAGCACATATAATCCATATGTACTAGCAAAAGCATGTATAATACACAATCCCAGATGCTCCCTTCAACGTCGCTTATGATGATTATGGAAGGCAGTGCTTTGAATTGTAAGGGTCACACCACCATGCTCAGCGTGACCCATCCTAATTTGTTCCTCCTTTTTTCCAACACCCCCTCTAAAGTCTCAGTCTAGTTATGGTTGGGAGGTCTAATTCTCGGGCTAGAACTCATCAGAAACTTCTTGAAGACCACAAAAGGCTGCTGTTGCAGCGTATCTGGCAGAGCAGAAGAAGGCTTGGGAAGAGGGTCAAAGACCTGCAGGGTTGCGAGTCATTGCTGACCAGTTTGGGATTGGTTATAGAGCACTTGGAAAACATGTGAAAGGGGGGAAGACTAGAATGGAATTGGCCGATGAAGTTTCTAACCTCAATAATGCCGAGGCCCTCACTTTCATTGACTTCGCACTCGGTATGGCTGACTGAGCCTTGTTGGAGGAAGGGATCAAGTGATCTCCCAAACCATCAGGGAAGGGGTACCCCCCCCCTGGCATAACGGGCGAGTAGTGTATGGATGCACACTAGAAGTCCTGGGTTCGATACCAGGCTTGTCCATTTTATGTCATTTGTCCAGTCACGCTGGTTTACGTCATAAGAATTTGGAGCTCCGGATAAGTCCAGTAGTCGCACCGGATACAAATTTCCTCAAGCCTTCCCACTTACACACGAATACTTGGCCCACTATGCACTGGAGATTAAGCGTCTCTGGGACCCACAAGCCCAGCCATTCGGGTCCAGCTGGGTCCAGAAGTTCCTAATCAAGTATGGTGACTATATCTCACTGAAGTGGAGTACCAACCTTGATACTGTGCATGCATCAGCTGTAAATCCTACCGATGTCAAGCTCTGGTTTGATATGCTCCAAGATGCATGCAATAAGTATCAATTCCACACCCGCAATATATACAATTTTGATGAGTCTGGATTTCCAATTGGTAAAGAGTCCAAACAATGAGTTCTCACGTGACCAGGTACAAAGATCCAGCATAAAGTTGAGGATGGGAACCGTGAAAATGTCATGGTGATGTGCACAGTCTGTGCTGATGGCACTGCTCTCCCACCAGTGGTGATCTTCAAGGGACATTACTTCATGGAGAAGTGGTGTCAGAACAATCCAATTAATGCAGCATATGTAGACCAATTATTCAGAAGAGGATGCTTACCAATTTATGGACAGAATATGCAACAAGTTGGAGAATGACAATGAGCACCAGCTCATTATCCTTGATGGCCATAACTCACACTACACTATGGGTCTTATTGACTTTGCCATAGAGCGGAAAATCATCATCATTTGCCTACCTGCTCATACCACACATGTTCTCCAAGGTGTTAGACACTGGTCCGGGGTCGGCACCAAAGGTCGCCGTTGCGGGCCAATATAGGCCGCAATGGCCATGATGCCGCAAACAAGGCCCGAGGGTAGGGCATTTGGCCTCAGCGACTCTAAAGGAGTGCTGTGCCCCCTAGTTGTCTCTTGGCCCTCATTTCAGACTTACTGTGGTTGCCTTGTTGGGGTCAGGACTTAGAGGTCATGGTCAAATCGATATTAGAGCTAAAGTACTATAATGTAGTATACAGGATATATATAGGAGGAAGGAATGAATGGAAGCAGACCCGGGCCGAAGGCCGAAGGGTCCGGAAGCAAAAGGGAACAAGAGCGGGGTTGGCCGCACAGCGGCCGGCAATGACCGAGGGTCAAAACAAACAATAACAGATAAATAAAAGAAGGAGCGTAGGGCCATGATAGCGGCAATGGTATCGTAGCGGCGCTGGACTCGGAGTTGGGCCGGAGTCGGGCGCGGGAATGGTAGCAGCCCTGTAGGGGCCAAGTGGGCACGGTAGAGGAGTCACGCTGGGCATGGTGCCGGAGGTGGACTCAGGGTGGGAAGGTTGGTGTGGCTGTGGGGGAGTCGGCCAGGTGCAGGGGAGCCTAGGGGCAAGCAGGGGAGTGAGCAGGGAGTCCTCAGGGAGGATAGGGCTGAGGTTGGGGCTCGTGCTCATCGTGCTCATGCTCACGTAGCGGGAATGGGCTCGGGCAGCATCGGGACAGGCGGCTAATGGGCCGGAATGCACTGCCATGACACAAGGACTCGATGTGGTCATCTTTTCAGTTTTGAAGTGAGCATGGTCAAAAGACCTTCGGCTATGGAGGGAGAAACATCACACACATTGTAATGGGTTTATCGTCTAGACTTGAGACAGAGAGAAGGGGGAGGGTGGTAGTGTGTGCAGGTGTGGTTCGTGGGGCCGGGTTTTGGTCCGTGGGCGCTAATGAGTCTGCAAAAACCTCAAACAAACACTCACCTACGTCTCTCTTGGACGTTGCAAGTGGGGAAAGATGGCAAGACCACAGTCAAGGGCTCACCACTCTTCCAGCTGCTCCCTCACCAAAGGGAAAGAAGAAGGGGGGGGTGGAAAGGGCACCTAGGGTTTCGGACTCACTGTGACCCCGGTCCCGACTAACTCAGCCTAAAAACCTCAACACACTAGGTGGACCTCCCTGGAAGACACTGCGAAGCACTCTCTCCAAGACTACAAGCACTCAGACACCACCCCAGGCACACGGACCTAGTACTTAGCGGAGCAGAGGGGAGAACCTCTGTATCATACTAGATACATCTTGTATATAAACCCAAGTTATACTGAGCTAATTTCCGAGCAATCCGACGGTGTTAGGGACGGATAGAAACGGACAGAACAACATAGAACAAAGAAAACAACAGAAAACATAAAAATATATGGGAACGGCCACACAATCGATAAATTCCGACGATCTCCACAACGGCTGCACCAAATCTCCCAATCTTGGACTCGTTCTACTCTTCTTGATGGTAGCTTTCCAGCGATACCAAGTGCATCCGGATCGGAGAAGAACTGGGGGAGTTATGGTGAAAATACTGTGAAGGCAACTCAGTAACATGTCTGGGTGGGCCATAACCTGGTCTGAAAAATTATCAAAAAATACAACGATGATAGGGGAGGTTCATCGAGCTTTGGGGGACTGGGGTACTGTGTGTCAGGTGCTAGGTAACTGTCAGGGACAGCTCCGAAAGCGGCAAGGTCCCGGTGTGCGGGACTCGGTGGGACGAATAGCGGCTGTGCATAGCGGCGATCCCATTGTGGGGTGAGCATCCCTGACCACTTAGTCTGAAGTGGGAATGTGAGAAGAAGGCTACTTCTTCGGTTCCCACTCCAGCTGTTATTATACATGTGGGATTGGTCATGTGGGGCACGCCACGTTACCCTTGCACACAGCCATGGCTCTCTGGGTGCCTCCGCGGGAGATCCCGAGAGGGCCTGCTGTGGTGCAGGGCAAGTGCAGCGGCAGTAGCGGCGATGTAGGGATGGTAAGATACAGGAGGGGAAATGGGCATGCATGCCGGTGGTACATTGAACAGCAGGAAAGGTGGTCCATGTAAGAGAGAGAGAAGGAAAGAAAGAAAGAAAGAAAGAAGGGAGAAAGGAAGAGGGAGAGGAGGGGGAAGCGGTGCGGAGCAGGGAAGCAGAGCGGGGGTCAGGCGGGGCGTGCTGGGGCATGCCCTGACATCACCCCCTCCTTAAGCCGCTTCGCCTCGAAGTGGCTGGGCGGTCTTCTCTTCCTCTCCCTGGGGCGTGAGGGTGTGTCCGATGGAAGTCTTCCACTAGGTCGGAGGCGTGGGTCAGGTGGTCGCATGCGAGCCACTGGTTCTCTGAGTTTGGCCAGCCGGTATACTTTACCAAGTACCAGAGTTTCCAGTGCCACCATCTGGAGTCCAGGATTTTTTCAACCTCATACTCTTCTTCCCCATCTATGAGGTCTGGGCCTGGGCCTGGGTCGGTGGGGCGTTCCGCAATTTCATCGGGGCAGTGCGGCCTGACGTTCATCATGGACACAACTGGGTGGATCCCCTTCTGTCGTGCGGTGAGTCGGAGTTTGACGGTGGCAGGGGAGACAACTTTGGTGATCTCGAAGGGGCCAATCCACTTGTGGTCTAGCTTCTTGGTTGGATGGTCAGTCGTGTAGTTCTGGGTGCTAAGCCAGACCTGGTCACCTTCTTGGTATGTAGGGGCTGCCCTGCGATTGCGGTCATAGTAGCGGGCCATCTCGTCTGCTGCATACTCCAGTGCTGCCTTCGCCTCCTCTTGCATTTTCATCATTCTTGAGGAGAACGCATCTGCGGTGAAGGAGAGAACGAAGGAAGGTCAGTTGGGAGGTTCAAACGAGACCACCACCAAGCTGTTCCCTGGTTCTTTAGTTAGGATGGGGAAGTGTACTAGTGTTATTTATTGTAAATATAGTACCAATCCGAGTGTTTTGGCTAATTCTATTTTTATGGGTTAGTTTTAAAGTTCCTGGGAATTGACTTACAGATAAACCGAGCCCTGCGGAGCTGTTTCTTTATTGAAATTTATTAATTTGTCTAGGTGTAATTCTGTGTAGCGTTGTTTAATTTGGATTTAAACTTGAATTTAATCTTCTACTTGGTGAAGTTTCAAAGATTCTATTCAGTTAATGAATTTGGATGGTGTCTGGAGTGTCCCTTGAGTTCGTTTTATTTTTGTCTTATTTTATCGCTTGTTTTAACAGTAGCAAAATAACTGTTTTGTGTTTACACTTTGAAATCTGGAGTGTTAACCAGCTCTCCTGTTGAAATATCTACTTAATATTTCTCTCCTTTATTGCTGCCTTTTACTACAGTGGCAATCTTAACTGTATATCACTTTTTCGCACTGGAGTGACAACCAGAAATGCTTGAGAAAAATAATACTCTATTTTCTTACTTCTCTAAGGGGGGCGAAAAGTCGCAGAAAGGGTCTCCCTTTTATACTCCTTGGGTCGCCTTCCTTTTTCACGCTCTACCTTCTATTTACAGGATTTATTTACAGTGTATTTTTCTCAAACTGAATAAAAATGAAATCTTCATGCTATAGTTCTACTGCGGTCAGACTGCGCCTAGAATTCTTATTGTCCTCCCTCGCTTAAGCTATTTTAATGGTTAATTGGAACTTGGCTGCGCTGCATTTGCCGCAGTTACCTATTTCAAATTCCCTATATATACCGTTAAATTTGCTATGACTCGATGATTCTGAATTCAAACTTCGCATTACTATGCGTACGGCTATGCTGAGACCTTCAGCTGATTTATTCCATTTTTATTTAGTGACATTTAGTTAAAATGAGACTGAAATGGTAAATGAGTGAATTATTCAGGTTTAAAACTGAAAGAAAAAGTTGCTAGTAATCAAGAATTACTCAAACGAATGTGTTATAGCTCTCCTCCTCATTAGAATATTGTTCCCTAAAATTCCTACCATGGTCCATCTTAGTTTAGTGGTTTTCATGAATTTCGTTCATATTCCCTGATTCCCCTTTGTATTATCACATCCTAATCCTCCATATGTATTGTTCGTTGTTATAGTAGGTCGTCCTTGAAGATTTCATA